GGGAGTTTCGCATCGATATTTGCATTGTATCCCCCAATAGCACCTGGATTGAATAAAATGCACAGGAGAAGTGGGGACGGGGGGTGTGACGATCGTCCGCGTGTGGAGCAGGGGGTGGGCTGCCCCGCGGGTGCCCCCCCGGGTGCCCGCAGGGGGACCGGTGGACGAAACAATTGCCGGCGGCCGGCTCATGAAAAATCGACGCCCCGCTGTACAATGTCGTGCGCAGCCCCGCTGCGCCACTAAAAATTAAATCGAATAAAAAAAAGGGGGAGAGGAAAAAACGGCAATTGAAGCAGTTTGTTAGCCCTCATGCGTGACACACAGGCGGTGTCGATCAGATGTTGTGCCGACAAGCCGCAGCGCAGTATATAACCCGCGCAACAGATTTGCACAAAAAATATAGAGTGGTGGCGAAAATGAAAAAAAAAAAAAAAAGCTGGAGCTACGATCTTTCTGGAATGTGCTCTCCCGTGCCCCTGCGACTTGTTGCGGCGAGCCTGTTGCTCAGGGAGCTCAGGGACGAGGAGCGGAGTTTTCCTGGCCGGCTTGGCTTGCGGACCTCTCTCGCGGCTCGAACCGGCTCGAACGGACGGGCCACCACCCCACGCTATTTTGAAATTTTATTTCTCTCTACCCTCTGCAGATCAACAAGTATAGTGTGATCGGCACGACTTACACACAAACCGTTTATTCCAGGGGACCGAATTCACAATCAAATTTTTTAGTTTAATGGACGAAAATTTGAATTCACTGACTAAGTAATTTAGTAATCTTAACTTGATTTTGATTTGTTTCGACCAACTTTCGTTAAAAATGATAGAATACAGGTTGATTCAGAGAAGACGCATAGGTGCGTGCGGGTTTGCCTACTTTAACGGCTATGGCGTCTTGCAAGCAGAGCGAGTAGGCAAACCCTGCTCGCCAACCTGCGACTTCTCTGAATCACGCGGTGTATCAAATTGGACTTGGTTTCAAGAACCAAATTTTGTTTCGCACGACCATTATTTGGTTGTTTTAACTAAATGTTTCTATGAGTGCAGTTTTTCTCAGAGGGTAAGAAATATTTCATTCGAAGTGGAAGTGACTCCTCCTGGGACGGCGCAGCCCGCCTACCTGACCCCTGAGCTGGCCCTGGAGTGCCAAATGAATAAGTGGTTCCAGCTCGGCAGCCAACGCCCGTGGCACCGTAAAGTACACTTTAGGTAAAGCGATCGACATACGGGGGACGCGTACCACTCCCGTCAGACGAGATGGAAAATTCGATTTCCCCTTTTAAGATGCCAAGGATCATAGATTACATGAATGGGACATCGAGGGGGAAACTAATTTTGGTAATAGGTTCGCTTACACTGATAAATAAAGTGTTGAACTGGCGAGCACATGCAAGTGCTCAACACTATGTTGCAAAGTCAAATTATTGAAAATCTGGCCTCCAATTTTACGTTTTGACGATTTTTCGTCAAATGACGGTCTTCTGACTGATCTTTGCAGACAAGGAAAGGAGGACCGATGAGACCGTAGATGTGGAAGAGCAAAGAGATTCACTGCGCACCTTTACGATTCCAAGACGGAAGAACGTCGGTCACAAAAGTGGTGACCTCTTCGCTGGGCGGAGGAGGGTCCGGAGACACAAAGAGGAAGGAAAGGGTCTTGTAGTCGACCGACTGACGTCGCGAGCCTGGAGAGGGAAGGGGGCCAGCGTGGGAGGCAGCGTGGGGAAACGCGGAGCAGCAGCGGAAGAACCCGCGACGTCCTAGCGTCCCTATCGCGACCTGAAATGGAGAGAGAGACAGAGAGAGAGAGCGGTAGAGAGGGCGGGGAGCGGGCGGTATGTCCAAATCACATTACCGCTCAAAGACCCACTCCCCGCGCGCGCCTGCCTGCGCCGGCGGCCCTTCGGCTATCTCGCCCTC